ATGGTCATGGTTGTTGGAGGTCAGTCAACTCAGCTTCAGGACATCTCTGCAGTAGTTCTGCAGGGTAGTGTCTTAGTCACAACCACCTTCAGCTGCTTCATCAAAGACCTTTCCTCCATCATAAGGTCAGAAGTGGGATGTTCGTCAATGGTTGCACAATGTTAAGTACCATTCAAAACTCCTCAGATACTGAAGCAGTCCATGTCCAAATGCAACAAGATCTGGACAATATTCAGGCTTGGGCTGATGAGTGGCAAGTAATATTCATGCCATACAAATGCCGGGCTATGACCATCACCAATAAGAGACTATCTAACCACCGCCCTTTGACATTCAGTGGTGTTACCGTCACTGAATCTCTCACTATCAACATCTTGTGAAATTATCATTGATCAGAAACTCAACTGGACTCACCACATAAATGCAGTGGTTGTAAGAGCAGGTGACAGGGTAAGAATACTGTAGCGAGTAACTCACCCTCCTGACTCCTCAAAGCCCATCTCCCATCTACAAGGCACAAGTCAGGAGTGTAATGGAATACTCCCCACTTGCCTGGATGGGTAGGCCTCAACAACACTCAAGACGCTTGACACCATTCAGGACAAAGCAGCCCGCTTGATTGGCACTACATCCACAGTATCCACTCTTTCCACCACTGACGCTCAGTAGCAGCAGTGTATACTATCTATAAGATGCACTGCAGATATTCACGAGATTCCCAGACAGCACTGTCCAAACCTGTGACCACTTCCATCCAGAAGGACATGGGCAGCAGATGCATGGGAACACCATCACCTGCAAATTCCCCTCCAAGTCACTCACCATCCTGACTTGGAAATATATTGCCATTCCTTCACTGTCGCTGGGTCAAAATCCTGGAATTCCCTCCCTCATAGCATTGTGGGTCAACCCACAGCAAGTGGTCTGCAGTGGATCAAGAAGGTAACTCATCATCACCTTCTCAAGGGCAACTAGGGATGGGTGATAAATGCTGGCCTAGCCAGCAATGCCCATGTCCCACAAAGGAATGAAAAAAAAAGGATGCTGTGGCAGAGTTATGGTGAGTGAAAGAATGGACAAGGAGGATCAAGTTTGAAGAAATGTTTTGCAATAAGTCCTGCAGCATTGCTACGAGCCAAGGCCACGATTTACCACCAATTCACCACCTCCAGTGTGTCCTCCTGGAATGGAGGCAGGGTGAGCAAGTGACCCCTGATTTCTCCAATCACGATTAGGTTGTCGCACTGTGTGCACTTTTCTCCTGCATTAAAGAGGGCTGTGAAGTGATAGCCATATGAGGTGATTAGAGAATGTGCCTGTTATGGTAGAACAATGCACAGGCAGGAGTTTCCTTGTGCAGGGGAGGGAAAAGTGTATGGAGTTGCATCAGGGGAGTGTAGATAAGTGTCGTTGTCAGGTGAAGGTGCTAAATTGGGCGAAGGCTAATTACAACAAGACTAGGCAGGAACTGAAGAATGTAGATTGGAGGCAGATGTTTGAAGGCAACTCAACATCTGGTATGTGGGAAGCTTTCAAGTGTAAGTTGCTGGGAACTCAGGACCGGCACATTCTTGTAAGGATGAAAGATAAGTATAGCAAGTTTAGGGAATCTTGGATAACGAGAGATATTGTGAGCCTAATCAAAAAGAAAAAAGGAAGCATTTATCAAGGTCAGGAGGCTGGGAACATACGAAGCAAGGGTGGAATACAAGGAAAGTCAAAAGAAACATAAACAAGGAGTCAGGAGGGCTAAAAGGGGTCATGAAACGTTATTGGCCAACAGGATTAAGGAAAATCCCAAGGCTTTTTATACATATATAAAGATAGAGAGGATAGCCAGGGAGAGGGTTGGCCCAATCACGGACAGGGAAGGGAATTTATGTGTGGATCCAGAGGAACTGGGCGAGGTAATAAATGAATATTTTGCGTCAGTATTCACCATAGAGAAGGACTTGGTGGATGATGAATCTGGGGAAGGGTGTGTAGACAGTTTGGGTCATGTTGTGATCAAAAGGAGGAGGTATTAGGGGTCTTGAAAAACATGAAGGTAGACAAGTCCCCAGGGCCTGATGGGATATACCCCAGAATACTGAGAGAGGCACGGGAGGAAATTACTGTGGCCTTGAGGAAAATCTTTGTATCCTCACTGGCTATAGGGGAGGTCCCAGAGGATTGGAGAATAGCCAATGTTGTTCCTTTGTTTGAGAAAGGTAGCAAGGATAATCCAGCTAATTACAGGCCGGTAAGCCTTATGTCAGTGGTAGGGAAATTATTGGAGAGGATTCTTCGAGACAGGATTTACTCCCACTTGGAAATCAGTGGGCATATTAGCGAGAGGCAACATGGTTTTGTGAAGGGGAGGTCGTGTCTCACTAACTTGGTTGAGTTTTTTGAGTAAGTGACGAAGTTGATCGATGAGGGTAGGGCAGTGGATGTTGTCTACATGGATTTCAGTAAGGCCTTTGACAAGTTCCCTTATGGCAGGCTGATACAGAAGGTAAAGTCGCATGGAGTCAGAGGTGAGGTTGCAAGATGGATAAAAAACTGGCTCGGTCATCGAAGACAAAGGAGTAGCAGTGGAAGAGTGCATTTCTGAATGGAGGGCTCTGACCAGTTCCTCAGGGATCAGTGTTGGGACCTTTGCCATTTGTAATATATATAAATGATTTGGAGGAGAATGTAACTGGTCTAATTAGTAAGTTTGCCGGTGACACGGGTTGGTGGAATTGCGGACAGCGATGAGGACCGTCAAAGGATACAGCTGAATATAGATTGGTTGGTGACTTGGGCAGTGAGATGGCAGATGGAGTTTAATCCAGAAAAACGTGAGGTAATGCATTTCGGAAGGTCTAATCCAGATGGAAAATATATCGTAAATGGCAGAAGCCTTAAGAGTACTGACAGACAGAGGGATCTGGGTGTAGAGGTACACAGGTCACTGAAAGTGGCAACGCAGGTGGAGAGGGTAGTCAACAAGGCATACAGCATACTTGCCTTCATCGGTCGAGGCATTGAGTTTAAAAATTGGCAGGTAATGTTGCAGCTTTATAGAACCTTAGTTAGGCCGCATTTGGAATATTGTGTTCAATTCTGGTTGCCAAACTACCAGAAGGCTTTGGAGAGGGTACAGAAAAGATTTACCAGGATGTTGCCTGGTATGGAGGGCATTAGCTGTGAGGAGAAGTTGGAGAAACTTGGGTTGTTCTCACTGGAACAATGGAGATTGAGGGGTGACCTGATAGAGGTCTACAAGATTATGAAGGGCATGGACAGAGTGGACAGTCAGAAGCTGTTTCCCCAGGGTGGAAGAGTCAATTACTAGGGGGGGGCAAAGGTTTAAGGTGTGAGGGGCCAGGTTTAAAAATGATGTACGAGGCAAGTTTTTTACACAGAGGGTGGTGGGTGCCTGGAACTCGCTGCCAGGGCAGGTAGTGGAAGAAGATACAGTAGTGACTTTTAAAGGGTGTCTTGACAAATACATGAATAGGATGGGCATAAAGGGATACAGTCCCCGGAAGGGTAGGGAGCTTTAGTTGAGACAGGCAGCATGTTGGTGCAGGCTTGGAGGGCCAGATTAATCTAAAATGCCATCCCCTATTCCCAATTCCTTCGCCTCCGCCGCATCTGCTCCCAGGA